ATATATATATATATATATATATATATATATATATATATATATATATTACACATAGTCAGTATTATTAAATTATTAAATAAATATCAGATATCAAGTTATCATTATTTAATTAAATTCTTATTAACTAATAAACTTTTAGTGGGAGGGATTATAGTCTAGTTTTTTTATATATATTAAGTATCTAGTTCTGAGTATTATATGTAGTTATTTGTTCAACAAATATTTATAGGGCTGGGGATGTGGCTCAAGTGGTAGCATGCTCGCCTGGCATGCGTGCGGCCCGAGTTCGATCCTCAGCACTACATACAAACAAAGATGTCGTGTCCGCCAAATACTAAAAAATAAATATTAAAATTCTCTCTCTCTCTCTTTTAAAAAAAATTTAAAAAAAACAAACCAAATATTTATAGAGTGTGTACTCAGCCGCTAAATGCAGAAGATACCAAGGTAGGGGCTGGGGTTGTGGTTCAGCGTTAAAGTGCTTGTCTAGCATGTGTGAGGCACTGGGTTCAAATCTCCAGCACCGCATATAAATAAATGAATAACATAAAGCCCATCGACAACTAAAAATACATATACAAAATTTTAAAAAAAGATACCAGGATAATTAAGGTGAGATCCTTGCCTTTGAGCAATCACAGTCTAATGGAGCAGACACACATATAAGCAAACAAATAGATGTGGCTAGTGATGTGTAAATAAGGTAAGTTAAATTCTCTGAACCAGGCTCAGTGCAAGTCTATAATCCCCATGACTCAAGAGGCTGAGATGGGAGGATTGAAAGTTAGAGACAAGTCTCACATATAGCCCATTGAGACACAGCCTGGGCAACTTAGTGGGACCCCTCTCAAAAAAAAAAAAAAAAAAGTTCTTTGAGAACAAAGGATAGGGAGCAACTAATTGTTACAAAAAAGTCCTCAGGGAGGAGATAAGTCTTTCAACCTCTATTGAAGGAGGGAAAAGCCCAAATTTTCTTGAGAGAAACATGGGAATCAACATTCCAGCTAGAAAAAAATCAATATATGTAAATATACAGTTGTAGGGGATAAAGGTTTGATTCACAGTAGCATATAAGAGCCCATTGTTGTAAAATGAGGTTTGGGTGGAGAGGAAGTTTCCAGAGTTTTCCTAAGACAGGAGATAAGTCATAGTGGTCAGGGCTCAAGGACCACTCCCTTGCAGAAGTCTGGTTACCTATCAGAGTTCTCAGCCCCCTCCCTTCAAGTATTCTGGAGCAGGCTGGGCCCACCTATCCTAGTTCTGTTGGGAGAACCCCGAGGGCTTTACTGAGTGACTTCCAGTCTTGTGAATGACCATTTGGCCAAAACCAACAAGGAGGGGTTCTCTTAACTGTGGTGGACCCAGGCTTATTTGGTTCCTCCAAATTTCATGTACAGTACATTGAGACACAAGGTAAGAGTTCATCTAATTTGGCATGATGACTTGGGCCCCTTCCCAAATTCTCTCATATTTAAAGTTCTTCCCCAAGACTATCTCCAGGGCTAGGGATATGGCTCAGTTGGTAGAGTGCTTGCTTTGCATGCACAAGGCCCTGGGTTCCATCTCCAGCAAAACACACACACACACACACTCACACACACAATGTTTGTCTCCAAGCCAGGACCTCTCATTCTCCCTGTTGGTGATCCCTTTTTCTGTTCTTTGTGGTTGCAGTTAAAAACATTCCATAACCTGGTTTCTGCTGCCCCTGGCCATGTTTTGCCAAAGAATGGCACACCCACTAAGAGGAAGGTATAGGGGGCTCCTGGCCTCACTTCCCCACAACAATCAGCTTTCTTTTTCCAAAATGAAGATCTAGAAAAGGTGAGGCAGAGGCCCCTATTGAGGATTGGTAGAGAGCCAGTCCTCTGTATAAATCATCCAGTCAGAACAGGAAAAGCATACTTCACTGTTCTTTTCTCTTTGGCGGGAGAAAAGGTGGAAAGAAGAAATAAGGGAAAAACAAGGACTGGAAAAGAAAAGGAAAACTGGGCAATTCATTCTAGAGAAAACCCTCTGAAATGAACATGTATCTCACAGTGTTTACATTGTTTTTTTCTTTTGCTTGTACTGGGGATTGAACCCAGGAGTGCTCTACCACTGAGCTGCATCCCCAGTCCTTATTACTTTATTTTATTAAGACTGCCTTTTCTTTTAATTTTTTTTTAGTTGGAAATAGATACAATATCTTTATTTTATTTATTTTTATGTGGTGCTGAGGATCGAACCCAGTGTCTCACACATGCTAGGCAAGCACTCTGCCACTGAGCAACAACCCCAGCCCCCTTATTACATTTTGAGACAGGATCTTAATAAATTGACCAGGCAAACCTTCAATTTATAATCTTCCTGCTTCGGGCTCCTAAATCGCTGGGATTACAGGTATGCCCCCCCACACTCAGTTGGAAGGCCCAGTGCCTTGCCCACACTGTATGAGTGCTCTACCTCTGAGCCCACAGACCTTCAGTTTACATTTTATTTATTTCTCTTACCTTATTACCCCTTTTCTTACCCTAACATCCTTCCTTCCACCCCAAGTGCCCCTCCTCCCACAAAGACTTCTTTTATTTTAGTACCAGGAATTAAACCTAGGAACACTCAGCCACTGAACCACATCCCCAGCTCTTTTTATTTTTTATTCGGAGACTGGTTCCCTAAGTTGCTGAGGGCCTCACTAAATTGCTGAGGCTGGCTTTAAACTTGTGATCCTCCTGCCTCAACCTCCTGAGCTGCTGAGATTACAGGTTTCCGGCTCCCACAATGACTTCTAAACTATGGGTACTCTTTTATTTTTATTATTTATTTAGGGTATTGGGGATTGAACTCAGGGGCACTCAACCACCAAGCCACATCCCCAGCCCTATTTTATGTTTTTGTTTTTTTTTTTTGTTGTTGTTGTTTTGTTTTTGTTTTTTGAGGCAGAGTCTCACTCACTTGCTTAGCGCCTCACTGTTGCTGAAGTTAGCTTTGAACTCTCAATCCCCCTGCCTCAGCCTCCTGAGCTGCTGGGATTACAGGTGTGCAACACCGTTCCCCTCTATTTTTATTTATCTGTGTTTTTATTCATTTATCTGTGACATGCTGGGGATCCACCCAGTTCCTTGAGCATGTTAGGCAATTTCTCTACCACTGATCTACACTCCTGGCCCATATTTTCTTTTTTTTTTTTCTTTCTGTGATACTGGAGATTGAACTCAGGAGTCCTTTTGCTACTATATTCTCAGCACTTTTAAAAAATTTTTAAAATTTTGACACAGTGTCTTGTGAAGTTGCTGAGGCTGACCTCAAACTTGAGATCTTCCTCCTTCAGCCTCCCCAGCCACTGGGATTATAAACATGTGCCACCACACCTGGCCATATTTTGTTTTTTAAATAATTCATTTATTCCCCTTCCATTTTAAAAAAATATTTTTTAATATTTATTTTTTAGTTGTAGTTGGACACAATACCTTTATTTGTTTTTATATGTGCTAGACAAGCACGCTAACACTGAGCCGCAACGCCAGCCCTTTCTTTTTTAAAATATTTTTTTTAGGGCTCAGGATGTGGCTCAAGTGGTAGTGTGCTCGTCTGGCATGCGTGAGGCACTGGGTTCGATCCTCAGCACCACATAAAAGAAAATAAAGATCTTGTGTCCACCTAAAACTAAAAAATAAATGTTTAAAAAAATAAATAAATAAATAAATAAAATATTTTTTTTAGGGCTGGGGATGTGGCTCAAGCGGTAGCGCGCTCGCCTGGCATGCGTGCGGCCCGGGTTCGATCCTCAGCACCACATACAAACAAAGATGTGTGTCCGCCGAAAACTAAAAAACAAACATTAAAATTTAAAAAAATATATTTTTTTTAGTTGTACATGGACACAATATCTTTATTTTGTTTATTTATTTTTATGTGGTGCTGAGGATCGAACCCAGGGTCTCTCACGTGCGAGGCGAGTGCTCTACCACTGAGCCACAACCCCAGCTCCTTATCCCCCTTTCTTAAAACATTCTTCATTCCCTCTTCATATTCAGAAACATAAACTTGCAGACATTTTTTTTGATCCTCTCCCCCTCCATCACACTTACCTTGGGAAATAATTCTACTTGTCTTATCCTTGTCTATATGTGGACAGCTAAACATTGATGGAAAAAAGTCTCAGAATCTTGCTAACTACTATAACTTTAAATTTACATCTCCAAAACTCAACATTGTAAACTAATTTTTTACTTCCCTAGTGAATTATCTTTTCCACTCTGTGCAATGACTGTTTCACACCTTCTTTCTTCTATATCTCCAACACCATCTCCACTTTCCTCTCAGCAGATGAAGACCTTGCCTCTAATTTCATTGATAAAATAGATGCAATCATCCTGTCTTATTCTTTCCATACCAAATCCACTAGTTTATTTGTATCTATTCTCTCATGCATGGCCTTCTACTTCTTTAAGATGAAAGAGGTATTCCTATTTTGAGGCCTTCCCTTGGGAGCACACACAGCTAACATCCAGTTCTGCTCCACAGCAATGTTGATCTCTATACAGCTGACAATGTGTGATAGAGTTCTGAGGAAGGGTGACAAAGTAATTCAGAGGTTGGGCTGGATCTCAAACAGCAGTCTAGTTCATCCAGGGAACTGGCAGTGTAGTTCAGTGGTAGAACATTTGGTTAGTATGCATGAGGCCCTTCTTGGTTCAATCTGCAGCACTGAAAAAAAGAGGAAAAGTTTTTCCAATCAGTACCCATCCCTTTGGATATAAGTAGCAGGAATCTTCCTCTTTGTGGACTTAAGTTTCATCATACCCCTATGTTGGGGAGACATTTCTAATACCTCAGAGATTAAGCCAACTGTTGTTGCATCAGAAAGATGCTACCCTGTCGGGAGCAGTGGCACATGCCTGTAATCCCAGTGGTTTGGGAGGCTGAAACAGGAGAATTACAAGTTCAAAGCCAGCCTCAGCAAAAGCAAGGAGGTAAGCAATTCGGTGAGACCCTGTCCCAAAATAAAACACAGAATGGGGCTAGGGATGTGGCTTGGTGGTTGAGTGCCCCTGAATTCAATCCCTGGTACCAACCCCATTCACACCCCCCCCCCCCCGCAATAAAAAGAAAGATGCTACCCTTCTTCTACTCTCTCCCCAAGACCTGTGTCACTGCCAGGAATGCCCTTCTGAGCTCAGGGAGCCCTAATCAGTCACATTGTGGCAGGGATGTGCCCACAATTCCAGGTGGACACTCGGAACTGCTGCCTGCAATGACCACCATTCAGTCTGTTTCCCATTCTGCATTTCAGCCTAAGATGGCTATAACAAGAGATGGAGCAAGCCTGGGGTGGAGTTAAGGTGAACTATGTGGCCCCTGGCAATTTTTAACTTTTTTTCCCCAGACAGTATGAATGACTTTTCTGAGTCTCCAGTTTACTTTACAATGGAAAAACAAAACTTAAAAACTCCTCTTACTCTCTCTCTGAAAACTCCATTCAACCCTGAGTTGATGTTAGTGACAATAGATAGAAGCATTGCTGATTTAGCTGGGCTTGGTGCATGCCTATAATCCCAGTGGCTGGGGAGGCTGATGCAGGAGGATCGTAAATTTGAGGTCAGCCACAGTGACTTAGTGAGACCATGCTCAAAATTTAAAATAAAGGGGGATGGGAGCTGGGGTTGTGGCTCAGTGGTAGAGCGCTCGCCTAGCATATGTGAGGCGCTGGGTTCGATCCTCAGCACCACATAAAAAATAAATAAATGAAATAAAGTTATTTTAAAAATAAAATAAAATAAAGGGTGATGGGTAGCTGGGAGTATAGTTCAGTGGTAAAGTCCAACTGGGTTCAATCCTGGGAACCACAAACAAATAAACAAACCAAAAAGAAACAAAAAAAAGTTGCTAGCTTGTTTTCTGTAAGAAGATCCAGATCTTGGCTTAAACCCAGAGGTTCAATTTTGGCCAATTAATTCAGTTGGAAGAACTTACTTATGCCAGATGTGGTGGCACATCCCTGTAATACTAGTGACTCGGGAGGCCGAGGCAGGAGGATTTCAAGTTCAAGGCCAGCCTTAGTAATTTAGTGAGGTCTTAAGCAATTTAGTGAGATCGTGTCTCAAAATAAATAATAAATAAATACAAATAGCTGGAGACATAGTTCAGTGGTAACCCCCTGGGTTCAACAATCCCCACTACCAAAAAAAAAAAAAGATCCTCAGCACCACATACCAACAAAGATGTTGTGTCTGCCAATAATTAAAAAAAAAATTAAAAAAAAAAAAACCCTCACTTATGCTGACCAAATTTAAATTTAAAAGAGAATGACATAGAAGCCATAGGATGGATTTACATATTTCTCTATAAAACTCACAGTGGCCTAGATGATTCTATTAGCTGATAGAATAGTGGACTACTTTGGAAGGCAAATATGATAATTAGAAGATATTTTTTAGTGGGCTGGGGATGTGGCTCAAGTGGTAGCGCGCTCGGCTGGCATGCATGCGGCCCGGGTTCGATCCTCAGCACCACATACAAACAAAGATGTTGTGTCTGCCAAAAAATAAAAAATAAACATTAAAAATTCTCTCTCTCTCTCTTTAAAAAAAAAAAAAAGATTTTTTAGTGAACAAGGTGAAATTAGTTGGATAATTTTCATGACTAAAAGAAATGCATCTAGTTGGGCACGGTGGTACACACCTGTAATCCCAGTAGTTAGGAAGGCTGAGGCAGGAGAATTGAGAGTTCAAAGCCAGCCTCAGCAACTTAGTGAGGCGCTAAGCAACTCAGTGAGACCTGTTTCTAAACTAAATACAAAAAAAGGGCCTGGGGATGTGGCTCAGTGGTTAAGTACCCGTGGGTTCAATCCCAAGTACCAAAATAAATAAGTAAATAAATAAGAACTGCATTCATGTGGTTTATAAAGATATAAGACAATCATTCATATTGGTCAAACAGGAAATCTTTCCTACATGTCACCAGAGAAACACAATTTCTTTTCAGGAGAGAAGATTCTTTGCAGATGATCTCTCAACTTCCCCCTTCTTATGAAAACAAGGTACAATTCAATTGATTGGGTTTCAGCTCAGGCAAGTTAATATAATTGATTCTTTTTATATCCCCTTCAGCCATGTTGTTATAATTGATTGGGTTAGATTTTGATTGTGTTAGTGCTCCAGCCATTTTACTTTAAGTGATTAGGTTGCTAGTACTATAGATATGTTGATAGAATTATGCTTTTCTCAAACTACATCAGATCATCTGCTACTTCTACAGATGGCTAATCTAATCCATTACACTTTGACTTTTGCTACTTTTACCTGAGGTACACAGTATTTTGGGGACAGCTTTCTGCTGTTGTGTTCACTATAAGCTGAAGAATGGCAAGGGGTTCCTAGTCGATCTTTCTGGCTTCCATCTCTCTTCCAATCCTTTCTGCATACAAAACTGTAAAATTAATCATCTTAAAATTGCTTTCCTACAACCTACAAAATAGCATAAAATATTTGCAATTCATGTTTCTGATAAGGGACTAATGTCCAGAATACACACACACACACACACACAATTACAATTCAGGCCTGAGGGTATAGATCAGTTGGGAGAGTGCTTGCTTAGCATGCATGAACTGCTGGATTTAATTCACAATTAAAAAGCAACCCAACCTAAAGATGGGCCAAGTACTTGAATAGACATTCTTCCCAAGAAGATATGCAAATGGAAACAAGCACACAAAAAATGCTAAAATCATTAGTCATTTGGGAAATGCAAATCAAAACCACAATGAGACACCACTTCATATCCACTAGAATGGTTGTTAAAAAAAAATACAAAAACAAAACCAAAAAACTCAGAAAGTAAAAAGTGTTGGTAAGGATGTGGAGAAATCAGAACCCTCATGCATTTCTGTGAACAATGTAAAATGTTGGTATATGCCTGAAATCCCAGGGACTGAGGCTGAGGCAGGATGATTGCAAGTTCAAGACCAGCCTCAGCAATTTATTGAGGCCCTAAGCAAATTAGCAAGACTTTTTCTCAAAATAAAAAGGAAAAAGGGCTAGGGATGTAGTTCAGTGGTAGCGTGCCTATGAATTCAAACCCTGGTACCGAAAAAAGAAAAGAATGTAAAATGGTACAACCATTGTGGAAAATCATTTGACTTTGAGGAAAGTTAAACAGAATTTACCATTGCTGGGTATATATTCAAAAGAATTAAAAACAGACATTCAAACAAACAAACTATTTATTTATTTATTTGGTACTGGGAATTGAAACCAGGGGCATCCTACCACTGAGCTGTATCTCTAACCCTTTTTGATTTTTATCTTGAGACAGGATCTCACTATCCAGGCTGGCCTTGAGCTTGTGATCCTCCTGCTTCCACCTCCAAAGAAGTTTTCCTTCCTTCCTATCTTCCTTCCTTCCTTCCTTGTCTGGACTAGAGATTGAACCTAGGGGCCTTCATCATTGAACTACATCCCCCGCTCCCTCTGTTCTTTGGCTGAAATACTTGTTTCCCAAATATCCATGTGCTTCATTTGCCTTACTTCTTTGAGGTTTTTCATTAAATGTCCCCATCTCAAAAATAAATAGAGAGAAAGATAGATAGTTTTTATTGTAAGGGCTTCTCTGACCACCCTATTGAACTTCTATCTCCCACTCCCACCACACCATGAATAATGCCATTCCAAATTGTGTTCTACTTTTCAGCTTTAATTTTCTCCATGTAATTTATCACCATCTAACCCCTTATACAGTTTACTGTTTTGGGGGTGCATTTATTGTTTGTTCCTGCCCTGAAGCTAGGATGCAAGTTACAGAAGAGAAAGGACTTGACTGTTTTTTTCACTGCTTTATCCCCAGGGCCTAGACGAGTGCCTGATTCATGATTGGCCGACAATAAACATTTTTGAATGAATGAACAGAATATAAATATTTGCAAACATAGCTTAATGTGATTACAGTCTTGTCTTTTTACTTTATTTATTATGGGGGATCAAACCCAGGGCCTTGAGCATGTTAGGCAAGTGCTCTACCACTGAGCAACACTCCAGCCTCCAGTCATTCATACACACACACACACACACACACACACACACACACACACTTTTTTGGGGGTACCGGGGATTAAACTCAGGGGCACTCAACCACTGAACCACATCTCCAGCCCCATTTTGTATTTTATTTAGAGACAGGTTCTCACTGAGTTGCTTAGTGCCTTGCTAAATTGCTGAGGCTGGCTTTGAACTCTCAATCCTCCTGCCTCAGACTCCCTAGCCACTGGGATTACAGGCGTGTGCGACTGTGCCCTGTCCAGTTTTATGTATATTTTTATATATAAATTTTATTATATATATAATTAATTCTTATATATAATTTCTTTATATAAATTTTTTTAATTGTCGATGAACCTCTATTATTTATTTATATTTGGTGCTGAGAATTGAATCCAGTGCCTCACACATGCAAGAAAAGTACTCTACCACTGAGCTACAACCCCAGGCCTATATATATTTTTTTTTTAAAGAGAGAGAGAGAGAGAATTTTTTTTTAAATATTTATTTTTTAGTTTTCAGCGGACAAAACATCCCTGTTTGTATGTGGTGCTGAGGATCGAACCCGGGCCGCACGCATGCCAGGCGAGCGCGCCACCGCTTGAGCCACATCCCCAGCCCAGGCCTATATTTTTTAAAGGAGAAAAACAACAACAAAAACAGAATCACACCAGATAAATCACTCTGCAACTTACTTTTGTTGTTTAATGGGCCATTGATCTTTCTCCAATTTAATGCATACAGAACTAACATTCTCTTTAGTTACAATAGTTCCCCTGGATAGATAATTAAAAAAAAAATTTGCCATTGTATTTTTTTTTTTTTTTAGTAGTGAGAGTTGAACCTAGGGGCACCATATCACTGAGTTACATCCCTAGCCTTTTTAGTTTTTTATTTATTTATTTATTTTTAGATAGACACAATATCTTTATTTTATTTTTATGTGGTGCTGAGAATCGAACCCAGTGCCTCACACATGCTAGGCGAGCGTGCTACCACTTGAGCCACATCCCCAGCCCTCTAGTTTTTAATTTAAGGCATGGTCTAAAGTGCATAGAGCCTCACTTAATGGATGAGGCTGGCCTTGAACTTGCTACTCTCCTGCCTCAGTCCCCCAAGCCACCAAGATTACAAATGTGAACTACTGTGTCAACTTATTATTTTTTTAATTTTAATTTTAGTTTTTAGTTGTTAATAGACCTTCATTTTATTTACTTATATGTGGTGCTGAGAATTGAACTCAGTGCCTCACACATGCCAGGTGAGTGCACTACCACTGAGCCACAGCCACAACCTTCCTTTTTGTTTTTAAGACAGGGTCTCACTTCTGGGGAATGATATTGGTTAAATTATATTGTTATATTGCGTGCATATACAATATGTAACAACTAATTCCATCAGTATGTACAACTACAAATGCACCAATTAAAAAATATGGAAAAAGAAAAAAAAGACAGAGTTCTGCTAAAATGCCAAGGGTGACCTTGAACTTTCCATCCTCTTGGTTCAGTTTCTCCAGTTGATAGGATTAGGATGTGTCCCACCATGCCCTGTGCAATACACATTCTAATTTTTTTTTTTTTTTTGTGGTATGAGGGATTGAACCCAGGGCATTTAACCACTGAACCACATCCCCAGATACTTTTTAATATTTTATTTGGAGACAGGTTCTCAATAAGTTGCTTAGGGCCTCTCTAAATTGCTGAGGCTGGCTTTGAACTCGGGATTCTCCTGCCTCAGGCTCCTTAGTTGCTAGGATTAGAATCGTGGGCCACCACACCTGGCCACATTCTTTTTTTTTTTTTTTTTTTAAATATTTTTTAGTTGTTAATGAACCTTTATTTTACTTATTTATATGTGGTGCTGAGAATTGAACCCAGAGCCTCTGTACATGCTAGGCAAGTGCTCTACCACTGTGCTACCACACTAGCCCCCTGGCCACATTCTTATATATGTATCATTATGAATTGTGTTTTTATTTCTCTAGGAGAGAATGTACCCATGTTTAATTTTATAGGATATTGTCAGAACACTTTCCAAAAAGAGTGTAACAGTTCCAACTCTCATATCATCTGGCCCCCCATGGAAGCTTTCAAAGTGTTTCATAATCTGGCCATGAATTATCTTCTAGTCTCCATTCTCTTCCGTATTTCTCTTTATCTCTCTCTCTTTCTCTCTCTTTTTGCTGGTAATGGGGATTGAACCCAGGGGCACTTTACCACTGAGCCACAATCTCAGCTCTTTTTGGTTTTTATTTTGAGACAGGGCCTAAATTGCTTAGAGCCTCACTAAATTGCTGAAGCTGGTCTTGAACTTGCAATCTTCCTGCCTCAGCCTCCTGACCTGCCGGGATTACAGGTTTATGCCATCACACCTGGCTCCCATTTTTTTTTAATTGGTGCATTTTATTGTTTAGATATTAAGTGTCCCCCCAAAACTCACATGTAAGACAATGCAAGAAAGTTTAGAAGTGAAATGATTGGATTATGAGAGCCTTGATGTAATCAGTACATTTATACACTGATATAAATTAACTGAGTGGTAAGTGTAGGCAGGTAGGGTGTGGCTGAAGGAGGTAGTTCATTGGGGGTGTGCCTTCGGGGGCATATATTTTGTCCATGGTGGGGGGGAATTTCTCTGTTTCTTGGTGACACATCCCCAGCTGCTTTCCTTTGTCACACCTTTTTGCTATGAAGTTCTGCCTCAACTCAGGCCCCCAAGAATAAAGTCAGACATCTATGGACTAAGACTTGTGAAATTATGAGCCCCCAAATAAACTTTCTCTCCTCCAATTGTTATTGTCAGGTGTTTTGGTCATAGCAGCAGAAAAAACTAACTAAAACAACATTTACTGCTACACAAGGTGGTACATGCCTGTATCCCAGTGACTGGAGTGATTGAGGCAGGAGGATCACAAATTCAAGGCCAGCCTCAGCAACTTAGAGAGGCCCTAAACAATTTAGCAAAATCCTGTCTCAAAATAAAAAGGGCTGGCTGGGCGGGGGGCGCTCAGGTTGTGGCTCAGAGGTACAGCACTCGCCTAGCATGCGTGAGGCACTGGGTTCCATCCTCAGCACCATATAAAAATAAAATAAAGATATTGTGTCCACCTATAACTAAAAAATTTAAAATATTAAAAAAAGGAGGCGGGCTGGGGATGTGGCTCAGTAGTAAAGTGCCCCTGGGTTCAATCCCCATAAAGTAAAAAAGAGCGGGGAGCGGGGCGTGTCTTGCTCTGTTGCCAAGAATGTCCCTGAACTCCTGGGCTCAAGCCATCTTCCTCCCTCTGTTTCCTGAATAGTTGGGACTAGAGGCACACATTGACACTATCGAACCCCCAACCTTACTTCTTTTTTTTTTGGTATTGGGAATTGAACTCAGAGGGCATTCTACCTTGAGCTACATCCCCAGTCTTTACTATTTTGCTTTTTAAACTTTTTAAATTTTGAGATAGGATCTCGCTTAACTGTCCAGGCTGGCCTTGAACTTGATCCTTCTCCCTCTATCTCCTAAAACATTGGGATTACAGCTGCGTGCCGCTGTGCCTGGCTCCCCCACTGTTTATATATATATATATATATATATATACACACACACACTAGTGAGGCACGGGGAAAGTCAAACTTCATTAAAAGCCTTCCTTATTGTGAAATCCTAGCATTCGGTAAACTTCTCTTTTCTCATTTTGCAACGTCTTGTCCCTTCTGGAAAACCGCAGCCCCTATACTCTATACCCTCAGAGTATACCTACTCTGATCCCTTCACCCCTGGGCCCCTCCTTCTCTCCCCTCTGGTCTCCAAAACTCTAACATCCTGTTTCACTTGAGTCAAAGAAAATCCGCTTTCAGAAATTCACTGGCTTCTTGCCTATTCCTGGACCTAGCAAGGTCCGGGACTCCACCTTGGGGAGGTTGTTACTGTGGCAATCAATTCCTGGAGGCCTTGATTTATACGGTTAACGTGTTGGAACATCTTTTGGCTCTAACTGCAAGATCGTGCAGATTTTCAGTGAGGATGTTTAAGGAATCTGAGCTGACGTGAGGGGAGAGCTAGCTGTTTAGGCCAAAACACCGTAAACTTCAGGGAGAACCTATGGGGGGCGCTGGGAATAGGGATTAGGGTAGGGAAAGATCGGTGTTTAAGGCTAAGAGAACTTTGCGCCCCCTAAAGGGAGTGCGGGTTAAAAGTCCGGAGGACAATATCACGTGCTCTCCGTTCTACCAATTGAAAATTAACAATCGCTTCCTCTATTCCCCATGGAAACAACCCCGCCCACTGACCTTCCCACCCCGTACTGTTGTGAGGTTTTGGTGTTTTATTGAGTGTTCAAGCTGACAATCAAATACCTGCGCCTTCTGTTTGGATACCCTACTTCCGCTTTGCAAGAGGGTACAGTTATTGGTCAATGCAGCAGGGGCTGGATTTTCCTTATCCAATGATCTCCCTACTGGGAGGGGCTTCTTGAGGACTCAGGACCAATCAGCGGCGGCGTTGCTTTTGCGGCTCCACGTCGGCACCAGCTGCGGGGCAAGATGGAGGCGCTGATTTTGGTAGGAGCCGGAGGGGCTTAGAGCTGCTGCGGTGCCCAGACGGGCGGGTAGTCAGGGTTTAGCCGACTGGGAGCGGGGAGAAAGGGGAGTTCCGGGTAATCGTCGGGGACAGAAGGTTCTGCAGGCTGGTGTAATAAGTGTATGGCCTAGTGCAGGACCTAAAGCCTCGGTTGAGAGTGGGAGCCCTTCCGGGGAGAAAACATAGAGTCCGTAAAAAGTTAAAGGGAGCACATGGTGTCCTTAGCATTCCCTAGGATTATAAGTGTACTGGATTGGGGTCCCTCAAGGTCCTTCTCATTCTTAGCATTGTGGATGATATTCTGA